AAGGCATCTGACTGCTAACAAGAAGGCTGGCAGTTCAAACCCACCAGCCACTCCTCGGAAGGAAGATGGGGCAATCTACTTCCGTAGTGATACTGCCTCTGAAACCCAAGGAGGGGTCGCCATGAGTCGGGTCCGACTCGATGGCACATAACAACAACAACCACCAGTTTGCAGTGTCTGATTTTGTAACGTCTAGTACTTTCAAGAGGAGCTGTGGTGGTGTAGTGGCTAAGGCATTTGGCTGCCAACCAGAAGGGCAGGAGTTCAAACCCACCAGCTGCTCTGTGGAAGAAAGACGGGGCAGTCTGCTTCCCTAAAGAGTTACAGTCTCGGAAACCCAGTGGGAGTGGCTATGTGTCAGAATCTACTCCATGGGGCTGAGTTTGTTTATGGGAATTTAATCTTTATGGAAGCAGATTGACAAATCTTTTCCTCTCAGTTCCAACTGCCGACCTTTCAGTTAGCGGTTGAAGACTTTAACCACTGTGCCACCAGGGTTCCTGAAGCTAATATATGGAAAACAAACATTATTAGTGGTTATCAGGGATAGGAAGGAGGGGGAAAGAGGGACAGCAATTCTCAAAGTTTCTGCATCTTTCTATTTGTTTCACTGTTCTATTGATGCTCCTGCCTCCCACTGGGCTGTGACTGCTCTTATTGCAAGGGTGTGTCCATTTTCATCGAATTTATCCCCAGGGCCTGGCAGGAAGTCCACTACATAGTAGAGAGGTGGTGAATATTTGTTCAATTATGACCCGAGTGAAGAATTCTCTGACTGTGGGAGTCCTGCCTTGTCTCTTCCACTGGGGTCAGTTCTATTCAGGGCACATTCATCTTTCTCCTCTTCGTGTTATTTTCCCATGACAAGGTGCATAGTCAGTGTGGGTTGATGTCACTCTGTAGCCCCATATCGTGCTTGACTTTTCTCCTAAGCAGTTATCATTGCCTCAATTATATTTAGGGCCCCTGGGTGGTACAAAGGCGCTCTGGTGGTGCAGTGCTTAATGCACTTGGCTGCTAACCAAAAGTTTGGCGATTTGAACCCAGCCGCTGTTCTGCAAGAGAAAGATGAGGCAGCCTGTTTCTTTAAAGATTTACAGCCTTGGAAAACCTATGGGGACAGTTCTACTCTGCCCTCAAGTGTTCCTTTGAGTCTGAATCAGCTCCATGGTAGTGGGTTTGGTTTTAGGCAGTACAAACCCATCATCTCTGTCTCTCTGTCTGTCTGTCTGTCTCTCTCTCTCTCACACACACACACACACACACACACTCTACTCTGTCCAATGGGGTTGCTATGAATTGGACTCGGTTCAGTAGTGGGTTTGAATTTGGTTTGCAGGTGGTACAAAAGCTTTGTGCTGGATTTGTGGAAGTAGATTGCCAGGCCTTTCTTCCACGGAGCAGCTGGGTGGCTTCCAATCCATAGTCTTTAGGTTTGCGGCTGGATGTACACGGCGTGTGCCATCCAGGCTCCTTTTCTAAAGATGAAAACCCTATGGAAGGCTTCTACTCTAACACATGGGGCCGCCATGCGTCAACATTGCCTGACACTAGTGGATTTTTTTTTTTTTTTTT